TCATTGATATTCCACAAAACAGTACTAATGGCAAAGTGTGGAATTTTTAGCATCTGGTACAATATTGAATCTAATTGTATCGAATAACATTAAAAAAGCAATTATAAAGATAGTAATACAGAATTGTTAATTCCAGTTCTTATTTGGTGTTTGTAGCGACAGTCAAGTCATATAGACATGCAAAAAAATTGTAAATGATAATAATGTCAGCAGATTAGATTGTCAGTTAATTGAGATAGTATCACCGTAGACTACATACAGGAGATAATAAAAGGGCCAATCATTTAGCTTACAACATAGTAATTCATATTTTTCACGCTCAACATTTTCTCTGTCGCATAGAACACAGCTGGCCAAATATGGTGTCGTTGAGTTCCTATACTTGATAGTATGAACATATAATCTTTTAAACTGACTTTAGGTTCTACCAGATGAGACACAAAGCGGGGACAGTTGAGGATCAGACAATATAGATTTAGACCATTTCACGTATGATTTGTTCAGATATCTACCAACTAATAGAGTGACAAGCTGCCTGACTAAGTTGTACACCACTTGTCCTGCTAACAACCTTCATATAATACCCTTCTCAAAATGACATAGTCCTTTTTGAGTAGCCAAGGAAATACTAAGGTAGTAGGGAAGCAGTAAAGTACAGTAGGTAAGAGTCTTTATAAAAATAATCATACTTAGTTTTAACAGACGCATAAATTAAGAGGAGAAAAAACATGAACATGATGAAATCCTGTAACCACTACTGAAGGATAAGTTGTAAATCCACTTACTCAGATATCTGTATGAGTATACACATAAAATCTACGTCATCAGAGAAATATTTCACTCGGAGAACTTAGATATCACTATATTTTCTGACACATATTTATAAGAAAAATACTTATATGACAAATTCAAACTGCTGGACTACATCAGTACCAAATCAACTGTTCAGATCTTTACAGACAGACACTGATTTCAACCTAAAATACAACGATGTAACAAACTGAGTTCTTCTGTTGTTTTTTTTTTTGGTTACAGCTTAATTTCACACCGTATTTTTTGGTACAGGTATGGAATTTTCGCATGTGATATCGGTAGCCAAAATTTTGCAGGCCGACCATAGATATCAGGTAAGCGTCGGCAGGGGATCGAACCTCGGACCATGTGCATGGTCGGCGAGAGTCCTAACCACTGCAACACCGACGCAAAATTAAACACTTCTACTGTTTCTAAGCAGAATGAGTGGGGTGAAAGAATCGTTATTTACAACGACACATTTAAGTGAACAGTGACTTTCTGCTTTCAATTAGATCTCATCAGGCTTAACATTGATACACCTACATAAATTTACAAATAAAAATTCAAATATAAACCAATCATCATGGTGTTTTGTCTATAGGATAATAAGATGGTGAATATAAATTGTGCAATTAGTCATAATAGTAGTAATGATAATAATAATAAAAATAGTGATGCCATATTAGTTTGTTTATTAGATGTATCACGCAGTCAGTGAAACAGTATTATTGTTTACTGGATGACGAGGTTTCGAACAAAATTTATTGCTGTTCATAATCATTTCATCAATTATAATCACACGACTTAGAAACTTCAGTTTTATAGTTTTCTTTGTTCTCTCCTATTTGTCGTCGTAGAGGTAGTCGAATTTTCCAGATATCAGGGACAGGTGTTGAATCACTCCTATTACATGTTTTCCTTGTCAGTTGATTCGATAAACAAAGTTCTGCTATCATCGATCTCTCCCACTCTCCATCCTGTGACATTAGATTTTAAAACTGTCCTCCTATCCCATCCCATCCTATTGTGTGGTTGTGTGTAACTGCATGTATTGAGTAGTATAGCTGAACTATTCTCTAGATTTCTCATCTTATTCGGGTCAACTAATCTAGATTATACTGGGTTTCCGTGCTTGGCTAGTCTGACTGACTGCCCCTGTTCTACTAGTCTGACTTATGTATTTGAACTGACAATCATTGCAGGCAGGGTATTAGATAAAATGAACTAAACCCACAAAATCAATTAGAAACACAAGGATCCTGTATAGCCTTTAAAACAAAACAATTTAGTCTATTTAATACCTGCCTGCAATGATTGTCAGTTCAAATACATAAGTCAGACTAGTAGAACAGGGGCAGTCAGTCAGACTAGCCAAGCACGGAAACCCAGTATAATCTAGATTAGTTGACCCGAATAAGATGAGAAATCTAGAGAATAGTTCAGCTATACTACTCAATACATGCAGTTACACACAACCACACAATAGGATGGGATGGGATAGGAGGACAGTTTTAAAATCTAATGTCACAGGATGGAGAGTGGGAGAGATCGATGATAGCAGAACTTTGTTTATCGAATCAACTGACAAGGAAAACATGTAATAGGAGTGATTCAACACCTGTCCCTGATATCTGGAAAATTCGACTACCTCTACGACGACAAATAGGAGAGAACAAAGAAAACTATAAAACTGAAGTTTCTAAGTCGTGTGATTATAATTGATGAAATGATTATGAACAGCAATAAATTTTGTTCGAAACCTCGTCATCCAGTAAACAATAATACTGTTTCACTGACTGCGTGATACATCTAATAAACAAACTAATATGGCATCACTATTTTTATTATTATTATCATTACTACTATTATGACTAATTGCACAATTTATATTCACCATCTTATTATCCTATAGACAAAACACCATGATGATTGGTTTATATTTGAATTTTTATTTGTAAATTTATGTAGGTGTATCAGTGTTAAGCCTGATGAGATCTAATTGAAAGCACAAAATCACTGTTCACTTAAATGTGCCGTTCTAGATTGTTATTTAGCAGAATAACACAAATAATTGTGCAAATACTTTGACAATTATTAATTAGACTGACTGATTGAATGACTGAGTTTCGGAGTGCGACTTTCCTCACATGTGCACAAATTGCCCCACTCCATGTTGTACACAAAGATAGAAAAAATAGAGGAAAGGGAAATTTAAGATAAAATTATAATGAGCAGAAAACTGTGGAAGAAAGTATATTAGTATTGAAACACATGAGGATTTAATATCTGTCTGTCTGTCTGTTTTCAACATAAAACTTTGCATCGATGTGAAGCAGTTCAAGTCGCCACACTCCCTCCATGCACCACACAAAGCAAGAGAAGAAAGCAGAAGAAATGCACAATAGAGACAGTAAACAGAGGTGTGAGAAAAAGGAATAGAAATAACGATGAACCACATAGTTTAATTGGGCATTACAAGTCACAGGGAGTTGGTACATCTGCGCCAGCTATTTAGAACGACTTTGAGCCATATCACCAATTGTCTCCAGCTTTCATTGACTTTTACCGTCCTGAGGACCCCAACCAGGAAGTCTACATCTTCCTACGTGGCGAGTTGGCCGGCTTAAACTAACTGTTGTGGATTTCATTGACTGATGAAGTCGTGTTTTGGTTCGACCACCACTGGCTCTTTTCCAACCTGCTCCTATGTCAGTCGGTTAACATCGTTCAACGGGGAAGGCGATGGCTAGGTATACCTAACACATGTCCTAAACATCTCAGTCGATGTGACTTCACAGCCTCGTCTATTGATTTCCCCTCTTTACCTAGCACTCGACCGAAGCCTCAGTATTGCTCACCTCATTATACCACCACATCACACGGGAGATAGAACGCAGACATCTATGACCAAAGACAGCTAGCCAGCCGTTTCATGCCTTCCCCTATCAATGGCCAGGTCTGACAGTCATAGAGGAGGACGGAGCGGACCGCTCAGTAGTACACACGTCCTTTAGTCGATAGCTGGATATCACGTCTACTAAGCCAGAGACGGCGTAAACTGGCATATGCGAAACTAGCCCCCTGTATTCACACTGAGATTTCGTCAGAGATCAACCCGTTGGCACTGGTTGATGGTACTTCCTAAATAAGTGAAGCGGTCAACGTACTCTACCACTTCACTCCCTATTTCTAAGCTAGGTGTCAGTGTAGTCCAGTTCTGTAACATCATCTTACATTTGGCGGAAGCGAATCGAATGACAGACATTGATATATTGCAGCTCAAGGTGTTCAGAAGACTCTGCATTTTGTCAGCGACCTCGCTTAGAATGACTATATCATCTACATATTTTATGTCAACGAGATTATTCACTCCCTGGTAACAATTCATTCCCTAAGTCGCTGAAGTGAGTTAGGGTTAAGACCATTGGTACATCTATGATGAAACTGAATAGAAATGAGAATAATGGGCATCCCTGACGCACACCACTAGTCGTCACCAGTTCAGATGACAACTCGCCCTAGGTCCTCACCTGGCTGCATGAGTTCGGGTAGAGTGCCTTGATCAGTGCAATGTATTTTCTCGGCATTCTCTTAACAGACAACCATCACCAGAGGATTTAATGGGTATGAGAGATCGCATAAAAAGTGAACGCGTCTGAGCTATTGAAAACGATTTTGAGTCGTATCACTGATAGTCCAAAGCCGTTGGGTTTTAGAATTCCTAGAGCTTCACCCAGACAGTTTACACCTCTTTACGTAGCTTGCTTAAACTAGCAATCAGAGACTTCAAAAATTGATGCTAGGCTTTGCTTTGACCACCTCCAACTCTTTCCCAACCTCATTACATGTCAGATGACACCGCTCAGTGAGGAAGGCGATGTGTTTAAAGTACTATTTAAAAGACTCTGTTTCTTGTCAGTGATTTCACGTAGGAGAGCAGTACCAACCACATACTCTAAGTCACTGGTAACAAGCCAACTGCCTAGTCGGTGAAATCACTTAAAGTTGACTTTATCCACATCAAGAACTTATCATTCTGAATAAACAACCATTAAAAAATACATAATTATGACAAATTGGTGTGTATATCTGGACTTAAGAAGCCTGATTTTAATTTATAATACCTTTTGATAAGCTTAGAACATCTACTCACATTAAAAAAGAAACCAGAAAAATAAGGATGAAAAACTAATCAATACACATACCATTCTCGACTACATTTCCAGCAATATTAGCTGTAGTATTCAATACTGAATCAATTGCTGGTGAGTGTTCAAGAACAAATGGTCGAATTAATTTTTTGTAGATAAGTAAAGATCCATTGTTTTGTATAGGAGCCATACAATATATCAGAAAGATGCACTGTAAAAATGAAAGGTTTAAAGAATATACATGAATACAAATCATACTCATTTTTGTAATTAAACCAATTGACAGAGATGCATATATTAAGGGGGGAAAACATTTTTTAATAATTTCGATAATGTGAAAATTAGGTGATTGAAGATAATTGGCCACAGGAAGCCTTGACTAGACTCAGGTTTTGTGCTAGTTGACACTCACCAGTTAGCAAGGCGTATCTGCAAACGTGAAGGAACTCATGTCCCTTCTGAGATGCAAATTCGCGCCGTTCAGTACTTCCTGCAGTCAGGGACGTTACCACTGAGCTAGCTACTCGGGCTCGCAATTGACCTCCTGTAGGACTGTATTGGATATTTTTGATTGCACGCTAGTTAGTAACTAATGTAATGTGTATAGTCCTTACTTTGGTGCAGACTGAATTCTATCAGTGCCAAATAGCACGAAACGTAGGTCAGGTAGGGCTTCCTGCCGATTACCTCTAACCATCTAATATCATCAAATCAATGTACACCGTGCACATGGTCTGGGGTTCAATCCCCGGCCGACACATTCCTTTACCTCGCTAAGCCAGAGATAGTGCTGGTAAAGAGGAAAGGTTGGGCATGAGGCTAGCAACCCCATCCTGTAAAATTAAACACTGCTTTAGAAATTTCAAGCCATTAGCTTGAAGCCCTATGTTCCACTGGGAACGTGAAGGAAAAAATGTACACCGTGATGGCGAGTCACCTAGGTTAGTAGCCACATTGAAAACTTGACTGATAGAATACAGTCTGCACCAAAGTAAGGACTAGGCACATCACACTAGTTACTAGTGTCCAATCAGATGTGAAAATTGCTGTAGTAATGGAGTTTTGTATACACTGGTAGTACCAAAAACAGGAAACTGAAGGTCTGTGATTTGAATATCGCTTAATTCTTTGCAAAACCAGGAGTCAGTGGTTGAGAAGTTGTCACAGTGACACGAATGTGTTTGTGCCTAACTCCTCTCGAAATGTAAGATTTCCATTATTCCTAACTCAGTGATCCTTTCTTTCGTTATGTCTTTACTCCTGTTCACTTCCTTCTTCTAACCTTTTGTAAAATAAATAACTTAAAGTGACGTACTTCTCAACAAGGAGTTGTAGTGATATGTGCAGTAAGATACAAATGATGAACAGAAAGTGGATCTACTATGCTAAATTGATTTGAAGATTATACAGAAGTAGTAAAGCCTGTTGTCTACACACTGCTGTAGGAAACAATTAATGTACCTTGTTCCAAGCCTAGTATATTACGCCAAGAAAGAATGGGTTGGGATGGGCCCAGTAAATATCCTTGTTCGCTCAGTTGAGCTAAGCTGTAGACAGTATTTCTCTAATCTTTATGATTAAATAACTATGTAGTTCACTAGCTCAGCTTTAACCATAATGACTGAAAATGGAATGGACACACTGGTTCTTTTATATTATGTATTTCAATAATATTCATGAAGATGACAAAACTGAGGGGTTTTGGGTACTCATTTTGTATTCACAATTAAAATTCATTTGAAAACAAGTGATTAACTGCGATACAGTTTCCGAAATAAATGAACCAACGGTGATTACATTATAGAAACTCTTTAGCAGAAGAAGATGGAATGAAAACTTATTTAATGTAGTTTGGCTGACCTATGCAGCCTACAAAAGCTCAGCCATTTCAGATGATCAATGTCCCAAGTGTCATAATATTAAGAGGTATCATTAGTTTGTCAGGACTAAACAGTGACTGAAGACGTATAGTAATTCTCGGTTCATTCATTCCAAGTTATCCTAGTTCAAGGAGCCATAAAACAAAGACTGGCATTTTCTAGAACTATTTCCCATGTGAGGTGATTGGTAAAACTAGACAGTTTGCAGCAAAAAAAGCAACGCGTGGTCTCAGTGATACCATTTTACTTCATTTCCTTCTAATATCCTAAAGGGTATTTTCCATAACTTGGCTGAAGCAACAAAAATTCTGCAAAAGTGCATTCACAATACGGCCTTAAAAGGAGTTTGCATTAGCCTACTGTCATGATACCATACTCATCCAAATAATAACGCAAAGTGATTCAGTAGTTCATTTAATGCAATAAAAACAGTATTTATCAATCCACTTCAGCTCAGTACCTTTAAAATTGGGTAGAGAGGTAAGTAGTATACCATCATTGCTGTACATGCTTCGAATAGTTGAACAGATGCAAATACGACCCAATAAGTCAGCCACTTAGTATCATCCTCCTTCTCATGAGTCTCTATGGCTTTAACTCTAGAAGAAAAATAAAATAACTTCAACCACCTACGATCTATATGCTGGGTAAACTGCACCCACTAACAAGGTGAGTACGTCAGTTCCATACCCAATAACTAGATAGAGAGTGAAAAACGCGATCACTCCTTTTCAATAACAATAAAGATATAACAAACCATAAGCCAAATTAATTTTGCTTATGCCTGAACGCTGCTCACATACGCACAAGAAATCTGTGAATACATTCTTTTTCTCGAGAGATTCTTCAAATTTACTCCGATATGCTCGCAGCTTCTCCATTGCGCGTTAATAAAGTTTACATGTCAGTGATGCAAGTAAACAAAAATATTCAGTATTCAATGCAAAAGCAAAAACTTTGTAAACCTATTGACTTCATGTCAGTTTCTTCTGATCATTAAAAGATAAATTTTGACTCAAAAACATACTTGTATTCAACCCTTTTGTTGTAAATTAATGGGATGTTGAACATTTTACTGCAGCAAAAGCTTCCATATGCGCATACTACAAACAGCACAAAGAACAAAATGCGGCTACCCCTGGAACCCAAAATAAAATCTGACGACGTAAGGAATACCCAACTCAAGACAATGCGAGCATGATTTGGAGAAACCGTCGAACGGTCAATCGAATACCTCAATATGTGATTATGTGAGACTTCCAGCTCTCAAATACTAATCGGAGGCTGTACGTCTCCCATTCAGGAAGCTGCTTCAGAAATAATTTCACAAGCAACAGGTGTCAAAAGAACTGAAGTATGTTATCCCATCTCTTATTCCTAAAGGAGGAATCAAGAGAATCAAGTACACCATGCATTTTTATAGCAATATGAAATATGTTGGAAAGCTTGTGTGCAACTACCTTTGAACACTGAATCTGTACTTTGTGGAACATTTTCAATGTGTTAATTAGACTGTTTGCGCCTCATCTGACTCTTGTACATATCTCGTTTGAATTGAAATTTTTTTAATTTCGATCTAGTTTAGGGTTCGACTACTGCTCTATTTGTATTTGGACGCCGGGTAATTTGAAGGTTCTCGCAGTCTGATACATTTTGCTTAACAAAGAAATAATCTTGCAGTTCTTCAACATTCTGTTATCAATACAATTCTATTTCAAGTGATTTGGTTAAGTTTTTGAATTTGTTCATTGGTAACCGTAACCGTCCAGTTTATTCGGGATTTGGTCGAGCTTTTTATGAACAGTGTGGTTTTATTTCGGTTTGGGAAAGGTGGCAACTCCGTATCCTCAGGTTATTCTCTCGGCAGACTCAGTAAGGAATATCTCAATGAAGACATCGCTGAGCATGAGGAAGAGTTCGAACAGGAATTACTACATTTCTAGAAGCTTGAAACAATTAAACGCCATCTTGACTAGAACATTCCAGATGAAATGTAATTCCTACACTTATCAAAGTCTGTCAACTTTATTTCACATCAAATACACCCCCCCCGAAGACTCTCTGAAATGGAGTGAGCAACCCATTATTATGTCGCGTTAGAGCCCATCTGCAATGTGAAGAATTTCATGTGGCGGTAAATCGACCGAGCCAAATGGAAAACAACGCGTGGCAGAGTACCTCAAATAGTCATACTGTAACGAAGGAAGACAAGGGTCAGGTGACAGATAGTTTACCTTGAAAATCAACAGATGTTTATAGATTTTTATGTACATCATTACTAGCGTTATTTTTAGCAGAGAAGCAGCATCTTCTGATTGGTTTTTTTCCTGCCAAAGGTTGTTCTGTCATCTCTTTATTGCCACTTCTTAGATAGTCCGTTGATATCTCTGCTAATTGTATCCATCCACGCAAAGTCTGCTGTTATCGGTTCTTGAGTTGGTATTTGTTCTTGTTTTGTTTTTCTAATGACCGGTATTTGGGACGTAAATATTGATGTAAATTGCTGCCTACCGATTTTGGCCAGCAGACAGCTCTCACCACAATACTAGGTTCACTTTTATCACCGATTTTTAAGGGCAATTTCTCAGACAGATTAAGCTTCCTTGCATATTTTTACGTTGATTGTATACATTTTTTGGTGGACGTGAGAAATGAGGACTGGCTGAGGATTCAGAGAGACCTTACCCGTCTGTAGAAGTGGGTCACACACCCTCAGGGCGAACGATCGCTTGATAGGGTTCATCTGCACGTCAGTAGCCCAAAGGGTTTTTCACTATTTGTGTGGTAATGACATCTCCTTTATACTAGTAGGGCTCTATCTTGGGCTAGTTTGGACGCAGGGAATTAAACCAAGACCATCAAGACCCTCTAAAGCATAACTTGGGCAACCGCGTACTTTTAAACATGAGCTATTTAACGCAGTTTTTCTAAGTGAAATGCCCGCCTACGATATTACTACACAGCCATTTCTGTAAAAAAAAGAAACTTCCTTAGAAAGCACACAGACAGTAACAATAAAGTCGTCATCGGGTTAACTGCATGGTGATAGACTCTGAGGGCTATATCCATTTGCCCTCAGTAGCCTCAGGACTAGAAGTGACTTGTTAGTGGTACATAAAGTAATGGATGATCCGAACCATACGGATGGAAGCAAACTATGATGCTCTCCGTGGCCGCCTGGAAACAACACAACAACCAAGATCAGTCAAAAAGTTGAGACCCCACTTCTACTTCCTTAAAGTTGGTCACCAGTGCAATTACCCGAAGCCTGAAATTGTCCATACTGAATAAGTTATTAGCTTCAGTAGTAAGTATTTCCACAACTATGAGTAAGAAGCCCAGCCCTGGAGGAAATGTGTCAACGTAGTAGAAGATTGAACGATCAATTCATGGTTGTTTGCTCAAACCCAACTCCCCATTTTTTTCGCGGGTGTCATTAATCCATCAGTCATCGTCTTATCGTTCGCTGTTCCGTGGAAGATTAAAACCTATCAGAGTTAAATATCGTGATTTATTGTTATAACATTTATTCTTAGACCTCGCGTGTAATAACCTCAATGTTGGTCACATACTGGCGTAAGAATAAAGGATTATTGAGTCGCCAATGTGTGTTCTGCTTTTCGCATTGCTGATCACAAAGTGTGTCAGCGACGTCTGTTAAACCGTCAATGCCCAGCTCTTGCTACGCTGGGACTCACGCTGTTCCTTGAAGCTTCTCAGAAACGCTTAGTAATAACGGACGCAAAAACCAAAACGTCGATTGGTTACTCGAGAATTCTTTATTGTAACACCAACATATAGCCAACTTTAAAACTAAGGTCTATGAACAAATATTACAATGATAAATCACAATGTTACTTCTGACGGTGTTCTCCTGACTTCTTTCTGAACAGCGACCGATGAGACGATGACTGGTGTATTCATGCCTCCACGAAAATTGGGGAAGTTGGTTTAGAGCAAACAACCATGAATTGATCGTTCAATCTACAACTACATTGACACTCCCCGGCAAAAAAGGGATCCAACCCCTCGTCAATAACGTCTCATAAACCGTCAATGCCCAGCTCTCGCTACGCTCGGGCCCACGCTGTTCTTCGAAGATTTCAGAAACGCTTAGTTATAACGGACGAAAAACCAAAACACCGATCTGCCGCTTGATATTTCTTTATTGTTACACCAACATATAAAAAGAATAAGCGAACTAAGGTCTGAAAGCAAATATTACAATAATAAATCATTGTATTACTTCTGACGATGTTTCACTCTTCTTTCTGAACAGCGACCGATGAGACGATGACTGTCGTATTGATGCCTCCGCGAAAATTGGGGAAGTTGATTTTGAGCAAACAACCAAGAATTGATCGTTCAATCTTCAACGCCATTGACACTCCCCGGCAAAAAAGGGATGCAACCCTTTTTTCCTTCACGACCAATACACGTTGACTTGGATGCCATTGCGAGAACCTGGGTCACACGAACAGAGCTGAAATGGAAAACAAACAGAAAAGCCAACACACCACAAGCATACCCACAGCAAAATCCCACACATCGCTGACGACCTGCGCCTCCAGACAGAGACCTCCTCTTGACATCTTGCAACACAATCGCCACTTGCTAGAATGACTCTTGCAGAATGCAAAGTGACCATGGCAACACCTCATGATACTCTACGCACATCCTCTTATCTACTCACTACCAATTACCACTGAAATCGCTTGTCACTCATTCTGCCACAGTTCTAGTAACGGTGACGCATGCGAAACTCAGTCGTTTACACTCTTTCTCCCCGGCGTGTCGGACCGCAGCTAACAATTATCTCCGTGTGCATTTCATTCTCAGCAATAGCCTCCCCGGCGTATACGCCCCATCTGCTGTCCTTAACATCAATCAATTCATTCATGGATGTAGAAGACTCGAAACAACTTCAGAAATAATCACGACGAAAATTTTAACAAAATTACGCAATATCAACAAGACACGAAAACAACGAGTAAACACAATGAATCCAAAAAACACTAATTGCTATGACACACCACACGTACATACAAATAGCACACGCAAACTCGCAGATCGTGTCTCGATGGAATTCCTTCGAAGAATTGCAGGACTTACACCAGTACGCCTGCAACCCTTCTCAGGTTGACGATTGTAATTTGTGGAATGTACGGACACAATCAAGACTAACCAACAATTACAGTACTTGGAACTCACACAATTATTTAACACAAACATATGTACAATCAACACATCAAATGTTGTGTATTCTGGCACGGCAAACTACCCTTGAAGAACTGTAGGACTTACAGCAGTACGCCTACATTCCTTCTCAGGTTGATGATCCAAGTGGAAGTCGTCCGGACACAAACAGAATTACCAACAGATAGATGAAAGATGATATCAATTCAGTATATGCAATATGAACATATGTACAAGATCATACACCAAGCACATTGGACTGCTCATTGATGTGCTACCCTTTGAAGAATTGTAGGACTTACAGCAGTACGCCTACAACCCTTCTCAGGTTGACGCTCTAGGCTGGAAAATCGTCGCAGAGTTCATTTGCTAACTTCCTTCTATCAGCTATATCCTCAAATCTGAACGGCAACACGCCCATGTCATTGTATCGTAGAATATAGATGACCAACAAACACACGACATATCTCATCATCCAAGTGTAAAAACAGAGTAATTTACACCAAAGATAATAGCATTCAAATAGTAACTTGAAACTAGAAATGCCTTTATTCATGCAAGTCAATTTAACAATTACTCTCTCGTTTACACTTGGCTTATCCTCACTAAACTGAGCAATATCTTTCGTCCCTTCAAATGCACCAATACTATCATAGTCATTGCAGAAGATACTTGAGTTGATGGGCATCTGTTTCATTGTGGATGAAAACACCAACGATGACTGAGTGACACATGGTGATGAAATTAGCGGTGGATCAGAAGCTGTTCTTTTTCGGCTTTCAGATAGTTGTCTAACTGCAAGATTACCACCAC